CTGCTCGTGTGGCAGCTTGCCCGGCAACTCTTTCTGCTGCTCCTGCCACTGGTCTGGGAGGGCATGGGGCAGGGGCAAGGGCCCCAGGATCTGCACGGGGTGGGCAGGGCCAGGGCTGTGCTGGGCGGAAGGTGCTGGGAGCAAGGGCTATGCCCCCCCACTGCCCACCCAGCTGGTGCAGGGCCATCGCGAGACTGAGCCACTGCGCTGCCTCTGGACAGGCAGCACACAGTGGCAGGAACCAGCCTGGGCTCCCCACGCCTCACAGACTAGCAGCGGCTTTGCCCCAGCTGGGCAAGCGGCAGCAGGGCATGGGGGGTCATGTGCCACCCGAAAACTCACTGCAGCCCCGCCATAGCCCCCGCTCCACCACCCACCCCACTCCGGAGGCACACGTCCTCCCTCCCCAACATGTGCTGCCGCTGCTCGCCTGGAGGCAGCACAGGGACCCAGTCTCACGCTGGCCCCACACTGGCTGGGTGAGCGGCGGGCAGGCATAGCTTCCACTGCCAGTGCTTTCTGCCTTTCACCTGGCACAGCCCAGGCCCTGCATCCCATGCTAATCCTCAGGCACGTGCCCACCCCCCATGCCTTCCCAGACCAGTGGTGGGAGCAGCGGTGAGAACCACAGGACAAGCCACCACACAAACAGCTCTGGTGGCGCATAGTGGTGTGAGCTGTCCCACCGCTTCCTTGGGCTGCGCTGGTCCCAGCCCGGGTCCCAGCCCCAGCCCCAATCCCTCCCTCGCCGTGGTGGCATTGATCTGCCCCGCCCCCGTCCCTTCTCTCCCCGCTCCGTTCTTCACAACGAACTTACCAGCGGGAGGCAGCTGTGTCCAGCACTGAGGATTGCTCCCTGTTTAGTCTATGGCCAAATCTCCAAAGCAGCACCAAATCTTTTCTGAATCGATTCGGAGGCTTCCAATTATATTCATACCTTTTAATGGGTCTCCCAATTCAATTTGGATTTGGAGATTCGACCGCCAAATCGGGCTGAATTTCTTCTGAACAGAATCCTCTACTGAAGCTTCACACAGCCCTAGTAAATGTTACCAGTGTAGTGACCCTGGGTAACTTCATTACTGAAAACTGCAGCCATAGAAATGAATGCACCTTTGACTCCTGAACAAACATTACTGGCTTGTGTACAACCTTAAACAATTGAAGTTTCAAGTACCACATGGAATTGTGATGAGTGCATGCACCAGCTTAGCTTAACTATTTCAGGACTCTATAGTAAAACGAATGCCTTACCAAGCCTACAACACTCACAAGCAAAACACAATGCTAATCCATAATGCTACCCTCTCTTATTTTAAAGGTGTTGCTTGCAGGACAGTAGAGACAGTATTCTAAGGGGGTGGAGGGTGAGTGGGCCCTCAGTCCCAGCTGCTGACTTGGAACGGGGTGCAAAAATAGCAGTTGCAGTGTTAGTGGCCAAGTCAGCTGTAGCTGCAGAACTGCCCAGCTATGCCTCTGAGCATGGAGGTAAATTGGCAGAGATACAGACAGAAGCTTGAACGATCTCTGCCCAGGCCCTGGCTGTATTCTGGATGAACAGTGAACTTCAGGATAAAGGCAGGCAATGTACTACATTTAGTAAAGCTGTATAATAAGCTAGCTTGCCTCTCTACATTTTCTACCTGATGCCTGATAGTTTCATAGTACGTAGGGTCAGAAGGGGCCTTAGCAGATCATCAAGTCTGCCCCCCTGCCATGGGCAGGAAAGAATGCTGGGGTCAAATGACCCCGGCTAGGTGATTGTCTAGCCTCCTTTTGAAGACGCCCAGGGTAGAAGCGAGCACCACTTCCCTTGGACGTTGGTTCCAGATCCTAGCCGCCCTAACTGTGAAGTAGCGCTTCCTGATGTCTAGCCTGAACCTACTCTCAGTCAACTTATGTCTGTTATTCCTTGTTACTCCCAGTAGTGCTCGGGGGAACAGGGACTCTCCCGTTATCTGCTGGTCTCCCTTGGCAAGTTTATAGACGACCACCAGATCCCCTCTCAGCCTTCTCTTGTGAAGCCTGAACAGGTTCAGGTCTCGTAGCCTCTCCTCATAGGGCCTGCCCTGCTGCCCCCTGATCGTGCGAGTGGTCCTCCTCTGGACCCTCTCCATGTTGTCCATATCCCTTCTGAAGTGTGGCACCCAGAACTGGACACAGTACTCCAACTGCGGTCTGACCAGTGTCGCATAGAGAGGGGAGGATCACCTCCTTGGACCTGCTCATGTTGCATCTGTGGATGCATGACAAGGTGCGGTTAGCCTTCCTGACTGCGTCCCCACATTGGCGGCCCATGTTCATCTTGGAGTCTATAATGACTCCAAGATCCTTTTCTGCCTCTGTGCAGATGAGAAAGGAGTTCCCCAGCCTGCAGGTATGCTGCTGGTTCTTTCTCCCTAGGTGCAGTACCCTGCACTTGTCAGTATTGAATCCCATCTTATTCTCATCTGCCCACCACTGTAACATGTCTAGATCCAATTGCAGCCTGTCCCTCCCTTCTAGCGTGCCCACTTCTCCCCACATCTTAGTGTCATCTGCAAATTTGAACAAGGTGCTTTTCACCCCCTGATCCAAGTCGCTGATGAAGATGTTGAACAGTACGGGCCCGAAGACCGAGCCCTGGGGTACCTCACTGCCCACATCCCTCCAGGTCAAAAATGATTCATCCACCATCACTACCTGGGTACAGCCCTCCAGCCAATTGGCGACCCATCGACACCACAATCTCCTAATTTTTTAACGAGAATGGGGTGAGGGACAGTGTCGAAGGCCTTCCTAAAGTCCAGAAAGACTACATTCACCGCGACCCCTGCGTCCAAGGATTTTGTGACCTGGTCATAGAAGGCCACCAGGTTGGTCTGACAGGACCTGCCTCTAATGAACCCTGAACATGGGGACCACAATGGCTCTTTTCCAGTCCTCTGGCACCTTGCCAGAGCACCATGAGTGCTCGTAAAGCTGTGCCAGGGGTCCCGCAATGACCTCTGCCAATTCCCTCAGCACTCTGGGGTGGAGATAGTCAGGACCTGCTGATTTGAACACATCAAGTCCCTCCAGAAGTTCCCTGACTAGGTCCTCTCTGACCCTGAACCTGGCTGTGCCTCCCCTGGGACCATCGGGGATCCCAGTGGGGGGGATGATCTGTTCGCTGCTCAGAAAAATGGAGGCAAAGAAATTGTTAAATAGTTTAGCTTTGTCATCTGGTGAGACCACCAGATTTCCAAGCGTGTCCTGCAGAAGCCCCACGTTACCCGGAACCTTCTTTTTCCCCCTATGTATTTAAAACGATTTCTTGTAACCTTGATCCGGGTCGCTAGTCCCAGTTCCATCTCCGTCTTGGTCTTCCTAACAGCCCTCCTACAATCCCAAGCAACGGGGGTATAGTCCTCCTTGGTGATGGCTCCTCCCTTCCATTGGGTATACGCCTCCTTCTTAGCTTTGAGACATTCCTGGATGCTTTTGGTGAGCCATGGGGACTTCTGAGCACTCTTGCCCCCTTTAGTCCGTGTTGGGATTGCCACCCTTTGGGCTTGGAGGATCATCTCCTTCAGGAACGACCACCCTTCTTGGACTCCCAACTCCCCACCCCTTTGGGACCTCAGTGCCTCCCCGACTAGTCTCCTTAGGTCAATGAAATCCGCCCTCCTGAAGTCCAGGGCTGCTGTCTTGCTGCAGGCCTTTGCCACCCTGCGCTGGATGGGGAATTCCAGTAGGTGATGATCGCTATCGCCCAGGTGATCGAACACCCGCAGTCCCCTCACCAGATCATCTCTTGTGGCCAGGACCAGGTCTAACAAGGCATTTCCCCTGGTGGGACTGTGCACTTCCTGGGTTAGATGGAGGTCCTGTAACACGGCTAGAAACCTATGTGAGCAGTCAGACCTGGCTGACTGCTCTTCCCAGCAAATGTCCAGATAGTTTAGGTCACCCCTGATGACCACATCCTTTGACTTACCTGCCTCCACGAGCTGACCTGAGAATCCCCGGTCTAGCTCTTCTCCCTGGTTGCGTGGTCTGTAGTAGACCCCCACCGTTAAGTCCCTTTTCCCCGACCCCCTTGTATTCTGACCCAGAGCACTTCAGTCTGCTCCTCCTCTCACCCAGTGCTGCTTGTTGAGGATGTGAATTGTTCTTTGACGTAGAGTGCCAATGACATGCCTGCTCCTGAATGAGGGCCCAACTCTCATTATTTTATTTTTTTTAAATGGCTATTCGGTGAAGGCCGCCTTTGGTGTAAGAAATGGAATTATACAATGTAGTGCTGCACAATTTGAAAACCTGTTGGTGTAGTCATGCTCCAAAAATAGTAGTTGAGTCATGAACATCTAGGATATAAAGAGCACATCAGCAAACCCAGCACAACAGAGCTGTTAGCAAAAAATGTCCTTTCCTAACCAAGCAAGATGGCAGAAAGTTAAGGAAAATGGAGGGCTGCTATTACTAGAGCAGGCCTACTTCTTTTTGCCAGGAAACAAAGGGGAAAGAGGACTGGGTACACAGAGGGAAGAAGGGTGTAAAAAGAACAGATTACCCACTACCCACTGGCTGCCATCCAAAGGCCATGCTTGAGTGTCTGCTGTTGTGATCACATATACATAGATTGTTTTTTGATTTAGATTTTACTTCAAGGTGAATAGGTATTTTTGATGCAGAAAATGTATTACTAACAGAATGCTCATTAACTCTCACAGTATTGTAAGAGGGCAACTGGATTTGCAAGGCTCATCTCCTGTAGGAACTTAGGAAGACAACTTTGAAAAATGGGCCGGGAGTTCTAAGTGCAGATACCTCCTCCCCTCCACCTCACGGTTGATGAAATGGTCTGTGCTCACTTTGCAAGCTTCCTACAGGTTTATGCACTGTGGGGTTTTTTTATGCTTGTCTGCATTAAATTGTTCTTGGAAAGTGATACAGACTTCCCAGCAACTCCTGAAAATATGATGATCTTAGCTCTTGATGGCATGTTATACCAGAAATGTGTTTACAATGGTGCAGGTACTGCATTCATTTATTATAAATAAACAATAAATAGTATAAATTATTACATCTTCAATAAATCTAAAAATATATATACTCTAATTTTAGCAGTGTCAGCAGCTAGTTCCAAAATTGTACTCTTAGCTTAAATTATAAAAACATTCTTTTTGAACAATAACTTTTAAACCATTACAGCTTATGTTAGTACCTAGATCAGTTAATGCCTGATTGATAATACTTGTACCCCTCTTGTGAGGCTAATAGCAGCGTTTGAATAGGAAAGTTGAAGATAAAAATTAATGATTCACTAGTATTTATTTGACAAACATTGGCTCTCCACAGTACTGTCTGCATTACTGTTTTGCAGTTAATTCTGGTCTATTCTTCTACATAGTCATTTGAGATTTGAAGGGCCTCTGCAAAGCTTTCTTCAAGATCATCAAGTTCCTTATTGGTTTCAAAGTCACTCTCACAAGTGGTTGAGTTTAATGTTGGCTCCAAAGAGTGTGAAATATCTGGGACAGATTCAGATTTCACTGAAGAGTAAGGATCTGTTCCAATGCTCACTACTTCAGTAAGATCTTTTGAAAAGCCATTCTGGCCACATATCTCCTCTGGAGTTTCACAATATGACTGGGGCTTTAATTTGTTTAGATCCTTTGATAATAAATCCATGGCTTTTAGGAACTCACTGCTCTTCGTAATCTTATTCTGCCCTTGATTTTTGCTGGTAATTTGAAGCTGATCCATGGTTTCAAACTTTTCCAGATCAAATGCCTCCATATTCCCATTGACTTTCTCAGATTTCTCCTCTGTGCTACAGCCTAGGTCCACTTTGAGGACATCCAGTAGGTGGCGCATTTTGTTCTAGAATTTAAAGGAAGAAATATAATGCTTAAGTTTAGTGATGGGTCAACTGCTTGCAGGAGTAAGATCGAATTTGTAGCTGATTTTTATTCTGTAAATCAAGGGTCAATAATTACAGCCCATGGAGATGTGGCTTTGGCAACATTTGGCAGCAGGGAGCTCTGCTCGTACTGTACCACAGTTGGGTACTGGGGGCTTTGATGGAGGGGAGGTGCCCAGGGCTTTAGTACAGGGGGAACGCTCTCTGTGCCATGCTGTGGCTGGGCATCAGGGAAAAGCGGAGGAGATGGCCCAGTCTGCCTGGGTCACTCTGGCAGGAAAACACTGCAAACACCTGCTGTGAATGTCTGAATTATTTTAATGACCTTCTTCTAATTGGAATGTTCGGTTTGGCCAAATGTTAAAGGAAAGAACGGATACTCGAAAGCAAGTGACTAATCTTTTCTTATTATTACTATGCTGCAAACCATCATCAAGTTCCTGAAATAACTGCTGTCTGGGTATGAGACTATACGTGATGTGGGCAACCTAAGTGGCATGCTATCACAGTACCAATCCACAATCTTTTATTCTACTAGTGGATCTGCACTGAGTGGCCTGGCTACGTTTACGAGCTTGCCATTATCAAATGCCTTTTGATGTCACTGACAGAAATGGGGAATGTTACAGACCCTGCTCCGAGAATGGACTTACCTCATCCAAACGGTGCCTGTTTTCTTCTATGTGACGCTCAAACAATCGTTCCAGTACTCTAAAACAAGCAGACAAAGCTCAGTCACAGTATCGTCAGGAAATGTTTGAAACAAGTCTAGAGAGTTATGATTCAAACTCCAGAATTTTCATGATTTTTCTTGCTTGGATAGCCTTAATTATGCTCAGTTACAGAAAAACCCATACTGAGCCTTCACGCTACTCGACAGTTGCTTGGTGAACAAGTGCCCGTCAAAGCAACAGCCAGTAACCTTCAGGATACATGTGAACTCTGGCTGGTAGGCCGTACCCTGTTGGAACTAACCTCAACTCAGTTAAAGCAAGTGGAGAGCTAGTTCCTGTTCCAGCTCAGTGAAAAGATCTCTGTACTCCCTTTTCCAGAGACTGAGAAGTAACTGCTAGCCTAACACTCCAAAGACAGAATCAGGGGAAAGCAGCTCAGTACCCTATTTCTTGGTACTAGCTGTGCCTCTTTTCTACCTTATCCAAAGAGAAAGAACCAGATCGGAAGGAAGGAAGCAAGTGCTATTTCATGCACTTTGAAATTCATAATACGAATCTGTGCTACTGGTTGGGAACCCATCACTTAAAAAAAAGTACAGGAGAAAGAGGTTGGTGCCTTGTGATCAACTAATCATAACTAGGAATCACTCCTGTGATATGGTTATGAAAAAGGCAAGGGCAATTCTATGATATATATGGTGATATATTCCAGAAGAAATAGGGACGTACTGATTACATTATACAAGGCACTGGTAAAACCACACTTGAAATACTGCATACAATTTTGGTCACCCACGTTCCAGAAAGATGAAGTCAAACTGGAACAGATGCAGGAAGGGACAGTAGTCTAAGAAAGGGGAACAGAGAGCTTATTTTGCACGAAGAGACTAACAGATGTTGCCTGGTTTTGTGTAGAGGGGTTAGGAGCAATGCAATTACTTTGCACGTCAGCAAAGTAAACATGTAGGAAGAAGACCCATTTAAGGTAAAGGCCATCCCTGACAGAAGAAATAAGCTTTGGTTAGAAATTAGCTGAAGGTTTCTAAGCCATCAGAGGAAAGGGATTCCAGCACAGCCTCCCAGGTGTCATGGGGGCAAAAACTATGGTTCTATGTTAGAGCTTGATCGGTTTATGAACCATGTGATATGGTTGCCTACAACTGTAGGGGATTAGACCAGATGACCCAGAAATTGCCCTCCAGCCCTTTGTTTCTCTGTCTAGGGGAAAGGAAGGGCAAACAGAGAGATGGAGAATAATATTTTTAAAAATATATTTAACAGAAGATTAAATGCTAACACTTATTCTAAAAAGGTCACACCAGTGTTGGAGACAAGTGCCATTTCACATAGCTTACAGGATCTGGTCTGTTCAAACACAGTAATTGTGAACTTGAAAATAAAGATATCCAACCTGTTGGAAAATAATCCGAGCTTAAGAATTTCATCTGTTACTTCTTCAATGAAAGTCAGATACAGCAGCTCTTCCTCTCTGCACAAAGAACAGAAAATCCATTATGAATATATAAAAGTAGAGACATCTATCAGAGTGGAGCAAGTAACTTTATCTGATCAGGGAAATAATTTACAAACTCCAAGAAGATCAACGCACTTTTGGCTCTTGGCACTATCTCTTAGTTCAGTGACCATCAGGTCCCAAGCTTATCAACCTCTAAATGACTAAAACAAACCTTAGAAGTTCAGATACCTCTGTGATTGTAACTGACCTTGCTTAACAGCTGCAAAACCACCTACGCATCTAAATTTATTAGTTGCATTTATTGCTGCATACACTTTAGCTTTAGAAGATCTCCACACACTGGACTTGGGCTCAGAAGAAATCCAGACCAGTCACTTAAAGGTCTCACTCCTGCCTAAGCTCTGCTGCAATCCAAATCAGTTCTGGAAAGTGCATAAACTTAACATTCCTGAATCAGGGAAAAACTCCACCAAGTACATATTTGGTGCTGAGAGCATGGATTCAGCTTAAAAGAAAAACAGTGGTCATGGTGACTGCTGAAATTTGACAGACTGTCAATAGTTCTGGTAAAAATTTCTTTATGAAATAACATTTAACGTTTCTACAGGTTATTTTAATTAAGTATTTATAAAATTGTACTAGAAGCATTGTACAAAATGTATAGAAAGGCAGTTAGAATGACATGCATTTGGCTGGAGTACTTTTAACTGGGCTAGTAAGGGAGTAATTCTAGCTGCTCCAGGCTGCTGGGATCTAGTTGACACTAGCAAAGAACAACTTTTTCCTTCAATTTTATTTCCAAAGATTTCCAACTACATTATCATATTTTGGGGTGTCTGCTTTCCCGAAACTGGACAGATCCAGCCTGCCACTCACCTATACACCTACTTTACCTTTCCACAACTGAGAAACTCCTTTCTACCTGCCTTGTTTACCTTTATTGCTGGGCTAAAGCTGTTACAAATTAATCTTCTTGCAGTTATTTAATACCTTTATTGCTTATTAGCATACCAGACTCTTTTTTTCTGTCTAGTTCTTAGCACATTCCAGCCTAACAAAGCCAACCTTTAGTGCTTGCTCACACTAAAACTTTGGTATCCTGGAAATTCAGTCCATGCTTGTATATAAGAACACACAAACACAACACTCCCTACTACATAACCTATATCGTGAAAAGTTTCTCTGCTCCTGCTACTTGTTTCCCATCTGATGTGACATTATACGTCTGTTCTCTGGAAACACTTGCTGCATGTCAATAACAAGAAAAGAACATGGGGAATAAGCATCAGGAGCTTTAGATCTCTGCAATAAAACAGATCTAGTCTGGAAAACTGGTTCTGTGAATAATACTTCAGCTACTGTTTAACTGATTTCTTTGTTTGCAACCATGCCTGTTCCAGGACATTCAGTGATGTGCCAATTTATTCCAACTCAAAGAAAGGCAAAAATATACTTACTCAGCCTGGATTTTAATCCTTGCTGAAGACTGCTCAGAATATGAGGATGTCTCCCTAGTCAGAAAATAGAACAGTGAAAAACAGCATTAAGCAATGTCCTAAAAACAGCTAATTCTCCTGCAATTCACCCTCTTTCTTGAGCTGCCCCTCTGCCAAAAGCATATACCAAAGCATATGACAACATGAGCAAGTTACTGTGAATTAATTTACTGGATGAACTTACAGCCCACCAGCTTCTCTGCAGCACCTGTCCATGTGTGCTGTCTTCCCTGTGATATATGGGAGGTAGAGTAGATTGCGCCTCAGTAAAAATGGGGTTAACTATCTCACATTAAATGGAGTAATTGAAGTTTATACCCTAACTTACCTTACCTTGTTCATATAGCCATAGATAGCCACATCAAAAATAACATTAATCCTACTGCGTAATGACAGTTTTGCTCAATCAGTGAGGGTTATGCCCCTCATCCATTTCACTTATCTAAAAAACACTGCTTGCTCCATCAGGAAACGCCATATCTTACTTTCAAGCTAGAAGAGATCTTCCTTCCCATCCTCAGTAAAGTAAAAAATCTAATAGTGGTGCAGACAGAACCCATGTCATTAAGATGGAAGGTGTCTCAGAATGGAAAAAGTCCTAATATTACTCTGGAGCATGGGATTTAGGCACCCTGGGTAGATTCTAGCCATACATATTTATTTTTAGCCTCTATAAAGATTGCAAGTAGATAAAGAATCATCATCTGACACAACTGGTGTTTTTGCCTAGCAAAATATCAACCTTCAGAGCATGAAGGAGGGCAGACTGAGAGTCTGGCTGCGTGGTGTATGCAGTAATACAGAGGAGTTTGTCAGCTATGGTGGGCATAGTGCCAAAAGGCAGGTGAAGCTGTGGCAGGGATGCAAAGTTAGGATTGTAAAAAAGCAGGGAAAATAGCTATGAACAAAAGGGAGGAAAAAAAGCCCAAGTCTTATCCACCTGATCTAATATCACGACTCCCTGCTGAAGGGAGGTAGGAATCTAGTCCTAGGAAAACTGGCAGCATGTGACCTTGGTTCAGCAGGGAGAGATTAAATTTTGATTATAAGATGTCTGGGGTCCTTTTTCCTCTGAAAGACACTCTACACCCATGTCCTTATGTGAAGCTGTATCAATAATGTCCACCATCATCTTACTGAAAGAAATACTGAGTTTGCAAGTTTTGCTCTTAGTTCACATGCCCATAGGGAATTAAGTGTAATGTTGGCATTGTCAGCCTCAGTCCTGCCTAATAGGAACCACTGCTCAATAAGCATGGGAAAACTGGGTACAAGAGCATAGCAATTTCCATGATAAGAGATGCTGTAGTACATACAGATTTAGTCATATATTTCAAAAGTATCCCACTCAACTGGCTTCAGAATGGAACTTTATCATAAGGAAAATGTGAATATTATTATGGATAAAATTATTAATCTTCAAAAACACTCTGCTAGATGAAGGAACTCAGAGAGAGAAACAGCAATTGTGGCTAACAAGCCTAAGCAGCTGTAGGACAAGCAATAAAGAACGTTTCAAAACTGGTTTCCTACTGCATGCACCTTGATAAAGAATAGTGAAACACATCCATTCTTCCCTCAGGCTCATCTGTTGCAGACTTCACATCTTCAGCCTACAATGCAGAGATAATACCTTTATTACTGAAGCAACGATACACAGAAGACAAGGACCACATTTGACCACAAGGGATCAGGGAATGAGAAGAAAATGACCATAAGGAAATACCTGCTTCAAAACTTGGGATAATTCTACTGTGAAAATCTTATATAAGCATGTGCCTCAGAAAATGTATTAACAATATTTTTAATACAATTTTATTAAAAACACTTTGGTCTAAAACTGTAAGCATAAAGCATGTGCACCCAAGAATGCAGGAACACTTGGGTGAAAGTACATAATCAGGAGTACTTTCCAAATATTCAACAAAACCTTTATGAAGGGAGTGTCAAAGGTAAAATGAAGCAGCTGTCAGTTAAGGGCCTAATTCTCAGATGGGCTCAGCACTTCATACTCTAGTTGAAAACAGTAGATTTGTGGGTGGCTCATCTCTCCTGAACAGTAGGCCAAAGATGACCTCCCAAAAATGTGCCCAGTAGAATGTGTGGTAGTCAAGTAATAAGGCTTGGCACTTGTAACCAATAGCCTACAGCATGTCATTTCAGTCACTCAGCTTGAAGATCAAGTTGTCTACTGCCTGCATTTTAAATGATGACACCCAGAAAAGGGCACTATATGGCTTCCTTTCCCTTTCTCAACAGCCAAGAAAAATAAACTAATGTAAAACCAAAATCTTCCGATAACCTTGAGGAAAGCTTTCTTAATAGGGTTCAAGTTACATCTGGACCTGTCTTTACTCAATTCAGATGAAGCCACCTCGGAACAGACAGAAGTACTTGCTTTATTCATAATCAGAAACATAAAGGGTCCTGCAAAATCCAAATCAGGCAAGTAACTCTATTAACTTTGAGAGGACTTGTGTTTAAAGACTTCTTGTCAGTGTACTGGCTGTGGATGAAATCCAGCGCATGTTAAAGTATCTGTATGAGGAACCTAAATTCCATGTCAAGCTCTTCCATGGGAAAACTGAGCAAGATGGGAAAAGGTTACAACAATTTGAAGCCAGGGAAATTATTTCATCTCTTCAAAGGGAGAGGGAGATTAAAAAGAAAGGGAGGAGGTTAGACGTCCATTTCACTTTACCTTTATAACAAAAAATGTATTCAAGACTCCCAAAATAGAAACATACTGCAGTGCTATTGGGAAGTCCAGATAACCAGGATTTATGTTCAGCTATAAAACCCCCACCATAAACAGCATCAGTCAATACCATGATACAAACGTTAGTAAGAATTCTCTGGTATCAGAAATGAATGTATACACCATTGTAGTTACTGTCACAAGACTACATATTGTATCTGAGGGACAGATTCTACCACCCTTGCTCAGGCATAGTACCTTAGAACAACATCCAGCAGAGCACTCAAGGACATAAAGCAGGATATAGGCAGAATCTGGGCACCAAGCTCCACAACTGGCATAACAAGGAGTAATGGGCACAAGTTGCCTACACGGTCAGATGGATTGCAGATTGGCTGAAGGGTCGCACTCAGAGGGTGGTGGTGGATGGATCATACTCGACTTGGGGGGAGGTGGGTAGTGGAGTCCCCCAGGGCTCGGTCCTGGGGCCTGCGCTGTTCAATTTCTTCATCAGCGATCTTGATGTTGGGGTGGAAAGCAACCTGTTTAAATTCGCTGATGACACCAAAATTTGGGGGGAGGTGAGCACGCTAGCAGGGAGAGAGAGATTGCAGAAGGATCTGGATAGGTTACAGGGGTGGGCAAACAGGAACAGGATGTGTTTCAATACGGACAAGTGCAGGGTGCTGCACTTGGGTAGTAGGAACCAGCAGCACACTTATACGATGGGGAACTCCCTACTTGAGAGCACGGAGGCGGAAAGGGATCTTGGTGTCATTATTGACTCCAAGATGAACATGGGCCGACAATGCGAGGTCATGGTTGGCAGGGCTAACAGGACCTTGTCGTGCATCCACAGGTGCATCTCGAGTAGAGCCAGGGAGGTGATCCTCCCCCTCTATGCGACGCTGGTCAGGCCGCAGCTGGAGTATTGTGTCCAGTTCTGTGCGCCCCATTTCAGGAGGGATGTGGACAACATGGAGAGGGTCCAGAGGAGGGCCACCCGCATGATCCGGGGACAACAGGGCAGACCCTACAGTGAGAGACTGCGGGACCTGAACCTATTCAGCCTCCACAAGAGAAGGCTGAGGGGGGACCTGGTGACCGTCTATAAACTCACTAGGGGGAACCAGAAGGGTTTGGGGGAGACGCTGTTTCCCCTAGCCCCTGCTGGCATAACAAGGAGTAATGGGCATAGTTGATGGAGAGGAGGTACAGATTGGACATCCGAAAAAACTACTTCACAGTTAGGGCGGCTAGGAGCTGGAACCAACTTCCAAGGGAGGTGGTGCTGGCCCCTACCCTGGGGATCTTTAAGAAGAGGCTGGATACTTACCTGGCTGGACTCATTTGAGTCCCGTTTTTGTTTTTAGGGTGGTTTTTTGTTTGTTTGTTTGTTTGTTTGTTTTTTGGGTTGTTCTCCCGCCCTGGCGGGGGGGCGGGCTAGAAGATCTATTAGGTCCCTTCCGACCCTGAAACTATGAAACTATGATCCAAAATTGCTGCTCAGCTGCTTCCTAACCCAGGAGGTACCTAAATTGCAATGTGCCTTATTTTGACTTTAACATATTTTGGATGCCAGGAACTGAACCTCTCGTGTGTGCCCAGAACTGCCTATGCATGAGCAAATTGATGTTCAGCTCATGAAGAACCCCAGATGGGATCCAGAAACTAGGGCAGTGATACTCAACCAGGATGCTGGGCATGCTGGGGTGCTGTGAGAAAATGCCGCAGGAAATGTAAGGAAATAAGGCTCAGGATCTCCCTGCCTGCCCTTTCTGCAAGGAGGTTAGGACTGTAATAAATAAATCAGGTTGCTGCTTTAATTTAAAAAAAAATTATGGAGGGGTGCCTTCAGTCTTCTGAGGGGTGCCTTGAGTCTAAAAAGGTTGAAAACCACTAAACTAGCATTCCTCCCATGAAGTCCCTTGAGGAGCCTGATATAGGTTATTGTTATTCTGCTATTACTCTCTACCCTTCCTGTTGAAATTGTACTACTGTGCAGAATGCAACATACATTAAACTTGAGAGAGAGCAAAAGGAAACCTCACTGTATATCTTAGCAGTTAGGTCATTAACTTGGGAGGACAGTCCTGGGTTCTGGTCCCTGCTTCAAGGACTGTTTAAGCACCCTGTCCAGTGACTGTTTAAAGTACAATATAAAAGCCACCCTGGAAGCAAGATGCTGAACATGTGCTCCTGTTTATGAATGCTGCACCCAAAGCCTTATTTCTTATTTGCACCTGCTTTTACCTATACGGTTACTTGTACACACCACAATTTTTGCCCTTTCATGCACTGAAACTGCATGTTTGTTTGCATGAACAGGATTTCCTGATGCTTTAAAAGTCTTTGTTGTGCGTTAAACTAAAACTCCTTGGATGTAGTTTAGTTTGGCTCACCGGGAATTAAAGTGTTGTGTCCATGGATTTGTTGCATGCAAACATAAAGGCACTCAAAGACATGTAACGAGCCTCTTTGTCCACCAGATAACACGGCAACTTTTTCATAGTTCACCCCTTCAAATTGCTTTCACTTTCAAATTGCTTCCATTTTTTTTTCTTGCGTGGTTTTGGCTCCCCGCTTCCACAGCTACGTGACTGGGCATGGGAGGGGGGGGGGCCTCTAGGGTGGGGAGAGGCAGCGTTGGACCATCCTGCTCTCCTGCAGCACTGGCCAGGAACCTAGTTTAATTTGTTTGAAAACCTAGTGCGTGTAAGCACAGATGTGATGCTCTAAGGCTTTATTCGTTTGAAAACCTAGTGCATGTAAACACAGATGTGATGCTCTAAAATAAACAAATTTAAATTTTATAAACCTATTTAATGAGAATTAAAACCTGTGGTGTGTACAGGCGCT